CATGCGCATTCCATGGTTCTGGAAGAAAATTTGGCATGGCTCCATATCAGGAAATATTTGTCTTATAGAGCTTAGTAACCCTGCCAAGTTTGATGCTTTTATCAAAAAACGAACAATTTTGTCCCTTAACAGCTGGACTACTAAAACATCCAACTCTATTGCGCTTTATGCGGCTTTCATGCGCTCTCATTGAACTGAACTTGCCCTTATTTAAATGAAAGTTGTCGTTCGTTTCCCAAAGTAGATAATGTGTGTGTATCCCGGCCTCACTTATTTGTCCATCTGTCTGCCGCTAGTTATCGTTTTGAACTGCCATCCTTCAACTTTTGTGTATTTTCGTACATATTTTATCCGTGACATATTATGAAAGATGTCGACTTACCTTAAAGCGACATCATTCTTGCCATCATGAGCGAACACGTCGCCATTGTGTTCGGACAGGTATATATTCTTTTGTTGGCACTATTTTCCAAGCCTCACAACTGGTCAATTGCTTTAAAACGACGGTGAAGACACTTCGAAGCGTTATCCAGGTCGACCTGATAATATATCTGGTGAGAATTTGGACAATAACAAACTTTCAGGACTTTGTTTTGTCTCGTGAACAAATCAGCAACCCAAACAACGACGGCCAAGTTGCCTTTAATCAATGCAGTGCGGAAAACAGCACAGCGTGACAACATGACAGGTTATATAATTATTTGGTCCACAAACTTCCGGGTACGAAAACAAAATAAAATATGGAAAAAATAAACAAAATAATAATAAGAAGAAAAAAGATAAGTAATACTGAAAACATTACCGGCGAGCTAGGAACACAGACAGACGTATATACATGCAGTATGTTACATTTCATAATTCACTATTCATGCTTTCGGGGTAAAATTCGTCATATTGCAAATGGGAACTCAGCTTCCAATAACTTTAACAAATTGTACAATATTCACAATTGAAAAATGAGAGAAAAAACTCTAAAGAAAATGGGCACAAGTTACGATGCAATGGCTCAAATACGAGTAATTTTAGGCCACAGTGTTAAACTTGAAATCGCATTTTAGATTTGCATACATTTGTGCACGAGAAGATGACGGCTGTGGATGCCTGTACTTAACATGATTGTACGAAAATATCACATTTCTTGAATGATGAAATTCTTAACCAAATGACATATATTAAATGGCAAAATCCGCCACCAAAGTAGCAATTCAGTTTTGAATAATTTACTCTGTCGAAATCGAATTCGAAATTTCTGAACTTCAGCTCTGCTTTCGGGGTAGACATCGTTATGTAACACCCAGTAAAAATATAATTATCATAATATTGTCAAATGTGTAGTTTTTCTGCGGTCACCCAGCACCAACTCCATCAATCCATGATTATATAGGGAGTTTCAGACGTTAAAGAAAGGAACCCCTATCTCTCACTTTTTTCAATTTATCTAATGATATCTAGGTTGCGTTTATGAATTTTAACAAGGGCCCAGCAACGAAGCGTGTCTGGGTTTATCTCGAAGTCACGTAGTCGTTGTCGGACATACATAGAAGACAACGACTTCCTATAACTAGACTTCTAGATAGAATGTCATGAGTAGATCTGGTTCCGAATAAGGCAAAACTACATTATTTAGCGATACACGTTTGATATAGGGAAACAGGCGAAAATACCGCTTTAAGATGTAAGATTTTGCCGGCGGTATGAAATTCGAGACACTTCGATTCATCACGAGATCGCGGATGAAACACATTTTAAAACACACTTTGAAACAAATTCCGAACGTGCAACTGAGAGTATTATGAACGAAACTTTCTGTGATTTTGCTTATTCAACGTTCTTGATACATTAAATGTTGAAGAAGGTGGTTTAAGCCAGACTTTATCATGACGCTAGACAAAAGTCTATAAGATATTTACTCACCCAGTATTCTTTTGTTTTCTTTCACCGCTTGCTAAAAGTCCGATAAATGATCATAATTCGATTATGAGTGACATATGTTCACCAAATGACATTAAAACGTACTGTAGGAAACATTTTTAGAAGTCAAAGGGTCTGAAAAAGTTCGATTTCCTCGGAAAACTAGGTATTTGTCTTTGTCCTTCCGCTGACCCATAAGTTACGCATGTTGAGCATGAACATATATTGAATAGGCAGCTGGGCACACACACAGCCAATGAAACACATCATACTACTCATAAAGTAGTGTATAACATCGAAAGGAATTAAAAAAAAAAAAAAA